TTTTTTTTTTTTTGAAAAAAAAAATCTTTTACCAGGAAGTCCTGTTTGTCCACTTGATTTCATAAGCAAGTGTCAGAAACTTGTGTACTTTCTATTTAATTACTTATATGCTGTTCTAGATGGATGTTACATTTAGTCATCGGGCACATTGCATAATATTTGGTTACCATGCAAAGGACCTGAGTGGAAGACTTTTTTAACTTGGACCACTTGTTACGAAGTAATTTCCAGTTATTCCATGGCTTAGAATCATTGATTGCTACAATTCTTTCTACATCTTTGTGATTTTTGTGCTTTTTGATTCATAAATATAATGGAATGGAGTATGAAATGCGAAAGAGCTAAGAAAAACTCTCAGCTCAGAAATAAGATATATATATGTATCTATTGATATGGATATAGATGTGTGTGTGTGTATGTGTCATTAGAACTACAAAATTATAGTCTTACTAGAAGTAAGAGTTTCAGGAGAGTAACACAAACTTGCTTTCAGAAATAGCTAAGAAGGGTATGAATTCTGTCCTTGGTTGGATAAGCAAGATGTGTTTGGTTCAAAATGCCGGTTGGAATATTGAGAAGATTACATATATATATATATATATATATCAATAGAATAGGATGGGTGAAGTATTTTTTAGTTGAGTTGTTTTTCTAAGGATGTTCAAGTCATAAAAGTGAGAATAATGAGCATTTGATGGGTATTGCTATCTACCCTATTCGGTTTGAAGTTTAATTTTCATGTAACATTACTTTCAGGTCACTGCATGAAAATGTAAAATAGTCTACTTACCCCCTAGATTTTGCTTATAATTGTAATGGGTGTCAGACTCTAATTGTCAGAGTAATTGGATTATGAACTTCCAGTTTTTTTAGGGTTGAAGGACTGAAGTAGAGAATATCAATAAATTTTGTTCATAAAGCAGCCTTTAAAATAATGATCAATTGCCCATGTTTCGTAGGGTATCCACATAACCTAGTATGAATCTTTAAACAGGAAAACAATAACAAAATAAGACGTCTGAGTGATAAGTAAATTGTATACTAGGACTATTGTTAATACATTGTAAATAAGTTGGTACCTCTTTAATAATATGCTAATATTATAACTACATAAATTTGTTATTTATTGAAATATGTTCATCCTGAAATATTCTTGATTTGCATCAGGGAGAGCTTGTCGGACATTTTTAGTTGTCTTTTCTGGTAAAAATATATGCTTATTTGTCTTTTGATTGTAACTCATAGTTTTATTGATATGAGTGTGAAAAAGAATAGTATAACGTATGTTAAAGAAATGGTAAATTAGGTTAAAGAGTATAAAGGTAAACTACATCCTATGACATCCTATGTAATTAATTGTCTATTTTCTTTTTCATCTTATAAAACTTTTTATATAGAACTGTAATATTTAATATAATACACATCAAACCATTCTTAACATGGTATCTGGGCATTAGGTTACATAAATCCTAAATTTTTTTACAAATCCTATTCGACTTTCATTATCGAAATAGAAAAGAAAAGAAAAGAAAACCTTAAAGGGATTAGGCCAACTTTAATAGTCGACCACTGTAGACCAGCCGCCAGCCACCAGTAGCAGCAAAACAGGCCTTCATAGTTGGCACCAATCCTTTAGTCGTGCACCTAACTGGGTGCATTCCTGTCCGGTAGTGTTTTCTTTCCACTTGTCTAGGTACGCACCTTCCCTCTGCCACAATTGCTACACCTGTTGCCCCTGCTGACCTTCATCTCCGGATGTGTAGTTCTTTGCAGCCGCACATTATCCAAATGTGGTCACAACCCCAACGCAATCTTCTTGTTCTGTCTTGCTGCTCAGATGCGGCCCCTGCGCTGACATGACCACACCAGCTGATGCGCGGCATGGTGTCAAACGAGCATTCACTCCTCTGCACCACTCTGTGCTCCAGCAACTGGATCTATCAAAGCCTGCATCATTTTCCAAGTGAGCACTTGTATTTCTAACCTGTCAAAGCGTCAGTGTCAAAGCATCAGCTTAGGTTTGTCCGAGCCTGCATCAATCCTAGCGGCCTCCCAGTCTGTCACTTTTGTCAGTGGGACCTTCTTCCTCTAGAATCTTCCTTGTGCAGCCGCGTGGACCACACCACCGTCCTCACACTGCCCAACGAAACCTTTGTTCCAGTTGCTAGGATTAACCGCCTAACTTAATTTCCAAACATCTATTTTATAAATGTCAGAGGTTACATCTTAATCCATAGGTCTAACACGTACATATGGAGAATACAACCAATGAATTTTAACACATATAGTCTACCTATCGCTTAACAAGAAAAGACTATTTGAGTTGGTCCCAATTAATTCAGATCAACCTCAAGGGAAAGACAAACTCAATCGTCTTTTGGATATCGAATCAAAGCCAGAGACCGCACATTTGATGACTGAGATCAAAAGGGTTCCATGATCAATGTATGCGTCTGGAAATCCATGACTCTAGAAATTAGCAAGACCATAATGTTCCTACCCATAACAAAAACAGTGTAGGATGCAATGGGCGAAACCTACACTAAGATCAATGATGCTGCATATAGTTATGACCTAACTGTCAAGATATGGTTCGCAAACAAAGGAAATAAGTTAGTCAGTGAATATTCTAACACGTTAAAAACCTGATGGCAGGAACTTGACCAAGACCATAGTCTGGCCATGGATTTGCTCAAGGGATATAGTTTCTCTCAAAAAGTTTGTAGAAAGAGATAGTACATATCAATTTCTGGCTGGATTAAATTCTGAATATGATCAAGTACAAGTAAATATTAGAAAAAGAGAAAATGTCATCATTTGATGAGGTAATTTTCATTGTAACAATGGAAGAAGGCATAGAGCCGATCATATTAGAATATTCTTCCACCTATAGGTCAATCCTGATCTTATGAGGTTAAACCTTGCTAGCGAATAGAAGAAGTTAGTCACTCTAAGAACTCAATTGTGAAAGCAGATAACATGAATAATCTTTGGTGTATTTTTGGCAAAAAATCTAGAAACACCAAAGAAAAATATTTGACATTTCACTACAAGTCCAATACCTCCAGCAAAGAGTGAGGATACAGAACTCTCTCACAGAAGATTCTCAAAGAGGTTCATATAGCTCATTAATGGGAAGATGAAACACCTGCCAATTTCATTGCTTTCAAACCTGAGGTTGAACAACTGTGAAATTGATTAGTGGTCCTTGAGAAGCCAACTGGTACAAGTGTAATAAAACATTTAGGTGTGGTTTAATTTTCACACAGTTTAATTACCTCTAATAAACTCTTTGAAAATTCTTGTATTGTAAACTTTGGAGTCATAGATTATGCGACTAATAAGATCAGAATTTGGGGAAGATAATTGGATGTGCTGAAGTTAGAAATGTACTCTACTACTTGTATGCACTTGGGGGATTTTTCTTTGATGTTACTACCGAACTTGCAGAATAAAATATGGTTCCATCATAAAAGACTTGGGCAATAATCCGTTTTCACTTTGAAGATTATGTTTTCTTTATTTTTTAAGAATTTAGGAAATAGAGATTTATATTAAGATGTTGTGAGTTCGTAAAACATAAACGTATAATATCTTCCATTAGAAAGAAGTTTAGTTCCCTTTTCATTAATTCATAATCATATTTGGGGTTCAAGTTACACCTGATATTTCTGAGACTTGATAGTTTGTGTCATTTATTGATAAGTGTACTATAGTCACCTGACTGTTTTTGCTCAAAGTCGAATATGATATTAGTCATATAATACCGTAGTTTTACAACATGATAAAAACCCAATTTGGAGCTAGTATAAAAAGATTTGGTACCAAAAATGCCAAAGATTTTTTTGATCACACACTTTAATCGTTCTTCAATTAGGTAGGAATTTTTCATGAATTATCTTGCGTCTGTACTTCACAAATCAAACGGAGTAAAGGAACGCCAAAATAATTGTCTTCTAGCCACCACTATAGCTTTCCTATTCCAAGAAAACATTGCATAATAATATTGGACGAAGCTGTCCTTACCGTTACCTACATTATTAACCATTTGCACTAGTGTTTTTGACTTCAAAAATCTTCTAGAAACAGTTCAAAAGTTTTATCCAACATTAATCATCACAAATCATAGTCTTTCGAATATTTGAGCGTGTTTTTTTCGTTCATATTCATTCACATCAAAAAGAAAAATTTGATTCTAGGATCTTGAATTATGCACTCTTGTAGATAATTGTATTTTGA